TTAGTCACCTTCCCAATTTTCTTTCTTTCAATTTTTCGTACCAACCTCAAGTTTCTTTTCTAGGGCTTTAACTTTTTATTCTCACTTTTTCCTCTTTTTCTCTTTTTTTTACTTTTTTTTTCTTTTTCTTTTTTCTTGAGAATTACGATTTTGCAAATAAATCTAAAAAAAAATGCTTACTTCATGTCACATCTTTATGTTATCTTCCAGTTAAAGGTTATGACAATACCAACTGACTATCAAAAAACTAAAAAAGACTTAAACAACTTTGGTTTGCTACTCGGTATTTTAATCACACTTTTTTAATCATCCTGAAATTTATTGAGGTACCATTAGAAGTTGTTAAGTTATGAAATCTCATAATTAAAACATTGAGGTTAATGTTTTCTAAGTGAAATTTATTATAGTTTAAGAGAATTTTTGATAAGCAGGTTGAATTAATCAGAATTCTTAGCAGGAGTTACCATATTAATATTTTTAGTCTTTTACTGAGCTTTGTAAACTACTCTCAAACTTGTATAAAGGTAAATAATTTCTCTTCAAACCTGTTTTTCTCCATAAAATATGAAACGTATAAATAAAAGTAATCATGGGTACAACAAGTAAGTGCATGAAAGAAAAAATACAGGCGCAGTCAAAATAATCTCATAACAAAAGTATGAAAACTATGCAACAATACATAATTCAGAAGATGACTAAAGTATAGCAGAAGCAAAAAAAATGGTCTTCGACTCCTACCCCACCATCTGGGATTAACTACTCCAGAGAGGACTCAAAACGAATTCCAAATGAAAATTTAAAACAAACTTCAAAGAAAAGTTCAAAATTAAAATAAATTATGAAACAAATGTTGAAAGTAAAAACATGCTCAACAAATTAGATAACGCTTGGACTTCCTCTAAAGATAACATTTGGTTTAATGTCTTCAACCTGACGAAAAGGCTTCCTCCAAGATCAAAATTCTAATATAGTAAACTTTGATTAATCACCCAATATTTTGATGGTCCATAAGTTTTTATTAAATCATCAAATTTATGTATTTCTTGCAAATTTTCCCCCTCAATTTGATAGCAATATTTTAAAAGGTCTGTAAGGGCTGTATTAAGATTATCATTCGTAAAGATCTTTACTAAATTCAAACTTTTCTCAATTAATTTACCTTTTTGTAGATCTTTATTTTCTCTGATAGTTACAATAAATGGGTCTATTAATGTTAAATCAAATGTTCCTAAATCTTAGATTGGTTTCTCTCTATGCTCTTTTGGCTCATGCTCAAGCTCTACAGATGTATTCTCTTGCCTAAAGCTATCCTCCAACTCCTTTCTTAGAGCTTCTCCTAAGGGTGGTCCTATTAGCTGAACTATCTCCTTAACAATGCTAAGGGTTGTCTTAAAAAAAAGAGCATATTCTTCCTCAATCATCTTCCAACAAAAAAAATCCAACACAACATGCTCTTTAAGGACCAACTCTTCAGATTCAAAGTCATAGCTCTTCTTCTACCTCTGACATTCTTTGAGGTTCACTGTTTAGTATGTTAGCTAACTACCAAACTTGATTTTCTATATTTCTAAGGACAACATCTTGTCTTTGTAACTCCTTCCCTAAATTTATTGCTAATTCCTCTAAATACTTATTTTCTTCAGGATAGTCACTATCCGGATTATTCCAACTTCCTACAGGATTGGCTTGGGTACTCTCTCACTGTTGGTTATCTGCACTAGGATTTATTGTTCTAATTGAAGCTTAGGTAGGTGATGTTGCAGTCAGCTAGCATTAATAATAAATATGCATTTCAATCCAAATAAACATAAATTCAGTAAAATAATTTTATCTCTTAAAATCTCGAAGCTGTCAAACCCGTAATAATAACACAAATATACTTATCACTCAAGTAATAAATGACTCTAATAGAATCTTAAATATCGATCCCACAGGGAGTTGTAAATTCTTATAGCTATAACGTCAAGCATTATTCAAACTATAAAACTTAAGTATGCAAATAAGATCTAAAATAAATTTAATGTGCATTAAATAAAATGCAGTTGAAAAAATTAAGTTAACTAAATTAATTGCTAAAATTCAAAATTAAACTTATAAAGACTAAACAAAGTTTTGAAATGAAGAGTTCAAATTTAAGAAAGCATTCTTTCCATTACAGTGAGTTTATGGAATGTGAAGAAATTAAAATCATTTAAAATACATATGAAATTGTATTGTGTCAAATAGGAGCAATTCTATTCTTTACCCTCTGAGAGTGCATAAAGAACATTGATAGAGTTTGGTCCTTAAATCCGTGCTTAGATTGAGAGGATAGTGACTCTCACTCCAGAGCTCTCACTTCTCCCTCGCCTGAGGGCTAACAATCTCGTTTTAGTTTTCAAGCTTTTAGTTTTCAAGCGTTTTAGTTTTCAAGCAACTGAACTAAATTGGAGATTTTAATCTGTCACCTTAAAATCTCCAATTCCGCGCCCATTAAAGTACATTTTCTTATTTATTTGCACGCAACCCCATGGATTATATTTTCACCCATGAAATTGAATGTGACTCTTACCTTAATGTATAAAGTATAGTCCTTTAGGATCATATGTTTCTCAACAAATTTTAACCTTGCAATTGGCTAGATAGAAAAGTAAATGAAGATCATAGTTTGAATCATTACAATTTATTGACATTTAAAACCTTATAAAACAAAACTAATTTTTTAAATAATCATATCTCATGGTAGGGAGAAAGATAAAGAAGATTACTTACAATTCATAAGAAGGATATGACAAAACATGGATTTCATATATAAAAATAAGGTCACAAAAAAAAAAAAAGTACACAACTTATCTAACACTCCTCAAGTAAATCCCTAGTTCCCTTTAAGCACTTTCTCTATTTAAAATCACACTCAATTCTCTTTAAGAAGTATAATGAAGAAGAAATCTCTCACATTCCCTCTACTCTTACAACCCTGGAAGAAAATCCTTCTCTTCTCTCTCTATCTCACGCCCCATCCTTCTCTTCTATAGACTCTCCTCTTTTAATTAGAGCCCAAAAGGAATTCACAATTCCCTTCAATTTTCCCCCCAAAAGTCACACTTTTTTGCACCATGAGATAAGTCTCCTCATCCAAGAGACATATCTCTTCATTAGAGAGCCTTCCAAAGTGTCTAGATGCATTGAACCACTCCATGGAATGTTTGAAATTTTTGGAGCCATCAATATCCGCTAAAAAATAGCCACGAACCGACTTACTCCATCTTAATTCGTATTCGGCACTTCTGACACCAACCTTATGAAGTCCGTGCTGTTCTTTGTATTCTGGCGCTTCTCGCGCCAATATGGCGCCTCTGGAGTTTGTGCTGTTTCTGAATTCTGGCACTTTAGGCATCAATCTGGCACCTCTGGCTCCATTTTTTGGCGCTTCTGACAATAGCTCTCGGGAAAATGGCGCTTTTGGCGTCAGGACACAAAATTCTCCATTTTAGCTCCAAATTTCTTCTTTTTTTCTACTTTTTGCTCCAAATACCTAAAATTGATATACTTGCAAAAAAAACATGAAAATTCCCTTCTTTAAAGTGCAATGTCGCCAAAATTAGCATAAAATGTACACATAAAATAGTATATTATTTTGGTGCATCAGTAGGCCAAACAACTTTGGGAGTAGATGTTGGATTCATTGCTCAAATTTACTACCACTTCTTCTAACTACACATCCTCCCTAAATTGAGGTTTTGAGGTCACTTCCGAAGATTGACATTGGAAAATGTGGTCAAGGCATAAGTTGTTCCAATTTTCTATAAGTTTGGATTGAGTTATCCTCTAATGTTGGTTTTCTACACTAATCATTAATGTTTTAATTAGAGTTTGGGAAAGTAGTCTAGTTGGGGTTGTAGATATTGAAGAAGGGGTGATCAAACCTAGTCCCTATGGTAGGGTGTTCAAAATTCACGTGAAAACTAGCCATTGATAGGTTGATATACTCCTGAAATGGTATAAATTAGTTTTCTTGAGGGTTCGCCAATCCATAGTGTTGAAACATATTTTTTGGCTTTTTCTACTTTTTTTTCAAAACCTGCAAGAAAACACAATGGGGAAAAAGGATTCATGTTGCAAACCCAACTTAGTGGGATAAAGGTTTGTTGTTGTTGTTACCTTTCCCCGATAATTGGGCCAATAACTTTATGGCCAAAACTTACCGTGAAGTAAGTAGGTCAGACAACGCAACTATTCATATCAAATAATAATGCTGCTAAAGAGTATCATGAATCAATCCCACAAAGAAAGCATTAAGAATAACTCTTGATGGTGAATCTCTAGTTTACTAAACTTGTAAACTTATTTTATCATGATTAGAAATATGAGATGGTTTCCTAAATTTCTACTTAAAAGAGAAAAAAAGGACTTTTGGAAATGATGAAAAACATCGACAAACAAATCTTACTGTTCTTCAATGTATGTGAGGCTCGCACCCCTGTGATTTAGGTAATGTCGAGATTTATGATTTAATTAGACTTTTCCCTAAGTGATTGTTGTCAATAGGGATAGAAAATCCTTCTTATACATATGCCTAGGTTAAAAGAAGGCTATCCAAGAAGTTGAGGATTTCTCAATCCCTATGACAACCCACAGATTTGTTCTTATTCTCTTTCTAAGTTGGCAAAACATGAATAAAATATGTTTATTTTTATCCAAATATTGTTGGTAGCAATTTCATTCATCTATGCAATGGGCATGATTCACAAATCATGAAATATGTTAATACCCTAATTGATCAAATCATGAGTAAATGAAACTTTATGGTTAGCACAACAATGAAAATATGCTTTGGTTTCTCAAAAAAATAATACAGGGAAAGAAATCATCCGAGACAACCAAAAAACCACATACCATGCATCACAGAAGTGAGAAAGAAAATTTAGCTATGCATGTTGGAAAAAACACAGGAAAAACATTTCATTGAAATCATTATTGCAAGTAAAAAAAAGTAAGAACTTACAACATAATTTGTTCCCTCTTACACAACAGCCAACTCCACTCACATACAATAGCCTCTTAGAAAATATAGGAAAATACAAAGGAAAATGTAAAAAAAACTGATAAGACCTCATCCCCAATAGAGGAAGTAAAGCCTAAGAAATACTCTAAAAAACTCTCAACTTTAGTGCCTAAGCCTTCTCCAAATCTCTCCTCTCCAAAAGATCACACTCTATTCATTTCTCAGCCTCTCCTTTTAAATATACAGAAAAAATAGGCATGAAACTACCTTCCAAAACAGGCTTTGGTGGTCTGCCGGCGTGAACTCTCTTGAAATTAGCATGGTCATGTCTGAAACTGGCGCGATCACGCCCAGATCAGGAGTGGTCAACCCCAAATCAGGTGTCACTACGCAAAACAATACAACTTCACATGTTTAGATTCCATTTTATGTGTTTGACAACCTTAACCTACAAAATAGCACAAAAAACTTCCACAAGCATAAAGTCCTCATAAATAAGGTGAAATAGCAAGTAAGAAGAATGATAATATGCATGTACAATTACGTAAAATTGACTCATGTCATTATCATAAATTCATACCTTAAATTTTATAAGAATGAGAATTTGTTGTCTTTGTCAATATTTAGAAAGCCAAATTGGATTGTCCAATTTGATCAAGAATCAATGACTGGTCAGGTAAGAATAACACAATGGATCATTTATGTGATTGAACCACTAGGAACCAATTGAAATTCTAGTTCAACCAGAAACAAATGAACCAATTTTATCTTTTCAAAATCATGGTTTGAACTAATTTCGTGACATCCATTGTCACTTAGTGTATCATGCGTAAGAAGAAAAGCTATGTAAGGACCAGAATAATCTTACATGTAAGAGAACTGCCTGGACAAAAAACTTATATTTTTTTTTTCTCGTCATTCTAAAATAACAAGGTATATATATATATATATA